AGATAGTCTGATTAGCTAACATCACCTGTAGAATGCCAGAGAAACTTTCATAACAGCGTTGTGATGCCAAACAGCTTTCAGGCTAAAACACATTCACTTATGGGGATGGGGGATATTTATCAGCTGCTTGTGTGACGGTCAGACAATGAAAACTTTACAGCGGCCGCTGCCGCGAGTTAACGGGAGAATAAACTCCGGTAGACGAGCAGCACTGCAGCGGGCGGTAATGCAGCTGAACCACATTAATAAACAATACACCACGGCACTCTGGAGAAAGGTACAAGGTTGGAGAAGTAGTTCTTTAATTTAATCTGGCTTCGTATAATTAAAAACTACCCGACGCAGTCCTCTATTGATGTTGTTGTGAGCGGTGTTGCGGAGAAAATCAGCGACGTAAAACGCTGTGTGGGTCATAAGAAGGCACGTAAACGGTTACGTCATGATGCAAACGATGACGCAATGACGCAATAATTCACCTTTGAACATAATTCACCTTTGAACCTGCATCTGTAACAAAGAGTGGACCAAAGAAAAGTCAACATTGAGTGCCGAGTGTATAATGAGGAGTGGACAGCTAAATATTTTTTTACCGATCTGCTACTGGCCCGGCCCGTCTGTCAAATTTAAAACTCATAGTGGCCCCCGAGCCAAAAAGTTTGCCCACCCCTGATCTATTGGGAGATTTATGTAGTTGTAATACCTGCTATAGTCTTATAAATGACAACATAACTCATCTCTGACTACTTTATTAAGATCAGGGCACCTTCATTGTTAAAGCTTTACCAACTAACACCCAGTCTACACTTCACCTTTCTTTTCATTTTGCCATGTAAGCATGTTAGCGCAGACACACAGTCCATACAAAAATAATACATAACATTTACCTTGAACTACAAACATATGATGGCCCTACATTTGCTAATACAAGACTTTTATTCTGAGATGTGTTCATGAATGTAAGTTTGAATAGGTGAATGCTGGCTTACGTTGTAATGTGCTTTTAATGGTTGCTAAGACTGTTAACAGCATTACATAAATGCAGTTTAAAAACAAGCAGTAGATGAGTAGGACCGACTGGTCGACATTGTTATCTCCAGCTTGGTTTAAACCAAAATCTGTTGAGTTTTTGTGACTCCCCTCTCTACTACACATTAGCCCACTTAATGTTACTCAGACGTTTTAATATCCCATGTCCTTGTAGTGTGTTAAATGAACAGCCCCAGCCAGCCAGTCACTTAGCTGTCACCTCTGCCTCATGATGTCATGAATCACTAAGTCAGCCCGGAGATGGAGATTTCAGGGTTGTGTGGTCAGCCATTGTGAAAGAAAACCCTGAGAAAAACAGCCTCTTTATGTGATAGATTTTGAGTGAGCCAAATTGTCCATAAATTTGGCACACGCAGTCATAAATGTCAGGAAAGGGAAGCAAACAGACAGACAAATGTATCCAGCGTAATGGCAGTGCTAATGGTTATGGTGTGAGGAGAGAAAGCAGGAAATAATGCTCAGGGAGTGTTACAGGCAGATAGAGAGCGCAATAGTGATTTGAAAACCGAGAAAGGTATAAGAAATAGGGGGAAGGTGTTAAGTGGATGTACATGAATGTGTATATGCCACTGTCTGTGAGTAAATTATTGATAGAGGGCGATGAAGACGGATGCGGGACAGAGGGAAGGAAAGTGATTTGAGGCATATGGAGGCATATGGAGGCATTGATCTCAGCGGATAATGGTCACAGTAAGACTCACTGCATGTCTCTGTGCTGAAGAAAAGAACGACCCTCCACACGTAAATCACACGAGATATTCTAATGAGCTAATTATATTAATACGAGGGTCTCCGAATAGGTACCTTGAATCTTGGCAGCCATATTTGAACAAAGTAGCTATGATAGCAGGTTGTGTGTCTTTGTTTACATAAATGAACAGTAATCACTACATTCTGTGTTTTTTAACAGCTGATTACTTTAAGCAGATTGAGCCAAAGTGTATCAAGCTACTTTTCCATGGCAATGCCTACAAACATTGAACACAGCACATTCACCGCAGTGTAGCTTTTGATGTTTTGAAAAGATCAATAGAGGTGAAACTAAACAAACACTCAAATAAACAGTGATAAAGTTAACATTGCCTCACTTATTTATCCTCATGTACATACAGAAGAGATGAGGGAGTAAGAGACGTAGAAACAGACAACTCGAGAGACAACGAGACAACCCAGACTCGCTAGTCCAAAAGAGAAAGATCACACCATGGAAAGAGGCAGACATACACAAAGAGAAGGATAGAGAGAGAAAGCATTGTGTCATCTGGGATCACTGAGCACTGTAATATGCTTGAATCTCATCAGTTGTGCTCAGCTCAGGTCGGCTTGGCTGCAGATTTCCTTGCTGTCTCCCTGCCAACGACAGCACATGGGAATATGATTCTCCAGCAGACCCAGAACAAGCCTAGAAGGTCTCACTTAGCTGGCTTTGGGAGAAAAGGAAATAATAGGTTCAAGTTTCCCAGAGGCTTCATACTGGCATAATATTTACCAGTTGTTCATAATAGAACTCCAATGATCGTAACACCGGAACGCTCTTGGCAAACTCAGCACAGGGTACAAGCTGTGTCTTCTGCGCCAGTGTAATTCTAAGTATAATTTACTCAAATGATTCCCAATCCTTTTATGCTAGAGTTCCTACATCCTACACACTGACTTGTGAAATAGGAACCATTGGATTTGATTGCTCTTGCCCTTGTGTTAGTACAAAGTAGATTATGTCAGACTATACCCATCAGGGGGAAACTTGGCTGTTTATAAAGTTTTAGAGCAGAACATTTTCAGAGCAGCATGAGGGCCAGTGATTTTCCTAAATTACAGCTCTGGGCTATTTCATGTAAAACTCACTTGTGCTAAAAGCTTAAGCTTAGATATGCAATATAAAAGCACCTTGAACACTGTCATCGAATTGCAAAAAAATAACAATAGCCCTTGTGTTTTGTTCACATTTCGCACCCTTTGGTAATGTTCGGGTCAAATTGACCCGGGACATATTTCAGGGTTTAAAAAAAATACAGAACTAAATTCAACATACACAATTCCTTATATATATTGTCTTTAACTCATTCCCCAACAATATAAATGAAATATATGATTAGTTTTTGAAAATACTCTTTGCTAGATCAAATGTAACAATGGAAGTGTCCATCGTTTTTTGTGATAAAAATGTAATTTATGTTTAAAAAAAAATACACTGTAATAAAAACTAGGTTTACATTTTGCTCATGCTTTTCTAGGACAAATGTAAATGAAAATTGTTTTCATTAATGTTTATTATTTTTAATCTGTCATATAATAATCAAAGCCCTGAAGGAAATAATAATGTGTGTGTGTGTGTGTGTGTCTTTAGGTTGTGTCTTTAGTTTGTGTGTTTCTGTGTGTTTTCTCTGTCTGTCTGTCCTGGTATTGTATTCGGGTCAGATTGACCCGAACTTCTTATGAAGGACATAAATTCGGGTGGGCATTTTTTCACAATTGGAAAAAAATAAAAACAATTCCACATGTCCTTCACAATAAATAAGCCCCGGCCATTGAGTTTCAGGTTGAACGAAAATATCCTTATATTTTTTTGTTATTCATTGAAAAAAAAAAATAGGTCAATTATTGTTTTTAACCCGTTGAGACCTGTTTTTAAAGCTCTGGGTTTCCTTTTGACCTTCACATTCTACTAAATGTATTACATTGTATGTTGATGTTATTGCCATTACAACCAAATTGATTCAGATGCTTCAATAGGCGTGTTCACACCGGAGTATTTTTCCGTATTTTTCCTGTTTAGTTCCGTTAGTACCCCTTATGTCGCGTTCACACCAAAAAGAGTACTTGGTGCCGGGAACTTTTACCCCCATTTGTAGTGCCTACTGAGAGGTGGTACTCTCCTGGAGGAAAAAGTGCCCCAGTTCTGATTGGCTGAGCGAATTGCAAACCATGCCCCGTAAAACCAAATTGATTAAAAAAAATCTTCCCTGCTGGGAGTCCCAGCAGCTTCTACTGAAGCCAGTCCCCAACTCCGGGGACTTCCGGCCGGGGACTTCGGGTGGCAGTATACGCTGTGAAGTTGTTTGCGGCCTGCCAGTAAACCCAAAGCAGAAGAAGACGAAGTGACGTCAGCGGCTCATTTGCGTAATCTTCCCTTATGGAACTTATTCCGGTGTGAACGCGATCGGCTCTTAGTTCCATAGGGGAACTAAGTGCTGGGAACTAAATGCTGGGAACTAAGTACGGCAAAGTACTTGGTGTGAACGCGGCTATTGGTTTTGACTGATGTGTTGTCGGAAATGGCTGAATTGGAATTCTGTTAGTGAATTTAGATTTGTGGGGAATGGCAACTGAAATAATTGATTTGCATTAAACCGTGCTTTTTGTCTTGTTTGGTTTTGACACAAATGTTCTGGGACAGCTGCAGAATTAGCTTTGAATTGCATCCATAACAGTTTTTGGGGCATTTGCACCACATACATGGAACCTCTCTCTATTTAACCACATGCTCTTATGGGTCTATTCAGCTTGGATTTTCTCTTTACTTGTTTGGGGTTTTCAAGAAAGAAATACAACTTAAATCATAATGCCCATCTGTACGTGACACCATACTGTCAATCGTCTCAATAAGTACCGCTTCTAAATGACAAGGATGCAAATAATGCCACTGTGGATACTTTGAGCCTCTAATGTTGAGGTGAATGCTTTTAACTGCAGATTGAAGCACAGGTGTTTACTTCGTATTGGCAATTCATTAGAACATAACAGCTTTTTTTTGTATTGTAATGATACACGAAACTCCCCCTGCTACTCAACTATTGTCTCTGCATGCCACTAGGGATAAAGTAGACTGTGATGAATAGGTTTTCAGTTTTCAAAAGGGGTATTGTTAACATATGAATGACTAGAGTGTTTAATTTTGTCTTGTTTCTCTTTCTGCTCCTTTCCCTTTCTCCGATGCCTGTCGCCGCCTGCAGATGAATTCAAAGCCCTCATGAAGCGCTTGCCCACTGACCGGTTTTTGAATGTGTCCATGATTGCCAAGTCCTGGGTGGCTGACTTGTCTCTGCAGAAGCGCTACGCCCAGCTGGAGTCCAGCTCTGCCCTGGTTCTGAGTAAAGCCCAGAAGATCGTCAGGAAACTGTTCACCCTGAGCAAACGCTGCCCAAAACATCCTCGCATCAGTCTGCCCAGAGAAAGGTAACCCACGGGCATGCAATGAGAGAAAACCAACCAAATGAAGCATTTTTGATAATTTTCTGCTTTGCGATGATTCATAACAGCTGTAGGCTCTCTAGCAGCCCACCTTAAGTGGAACACACTGTGAAAATCAAGAGCAGTCTGTCTGGAAAGTGCTTAATGTAGCAACAAAAGGTTCTGCACACAGGAAGGTTGGAAACATGCCAGCGGGGCAAACAATCGGTTATTTTAAAGCTGATTCCCATCCAAAACATCTATTTGTAGAATGCTGGCATTGGGATTTCAGATAAGGGCTGTCTCTGCTGCCAACTGATTGTACGGTAGTAAATATGTCCATCTGTGTAAAACTGTTGGGCATTGTGACAGAGTATTACCAACATAATGTAAATAGCTGTAGCCTGAATGCATCAACCTGAATGAATCATCTGTTACTAACAACCCACAAAACTCCCAAATGGTAAGGCCCAGTAACAACTTAATGATAAATAAATTATAAACATTGTATACTCTATAGATATTACAATGACTCTAGCATTAAGTGTAAATGTAGCCCAAGAGATAGTCTTGTTCTTTCCCTGAGGGGTGTGATCTAATACAAATCAATTTCAATTTCAATTATGACTATGCATACTGAACAACTTTATTTTTGAACCAATTCTGAGCAGTGTGGATTACGCCAGTTTACAAGCTAATGTTTACCTAAAAAATGAGAAATCCGCATCAGACAATATCCCATGAGCCATGTTGAAAAGGGGTTGGTCGTTCAACATTAACAACAAACGGAAACTAGAATGCTTTAAAAATCGATATCATGTCCAGCTCAAATTAGATTCAGAAATTCAGTTAAGTTCCCAAACCTTAGTGTGTGCCATTTTAACCAAAACCATGATGTTTTCTCAACCTAACCAATTTGTTTTTGTGCCCTTACCTGACCAAACCTTTACTAAAAACACGGTCAAAGTTATATTTTTTTATCTGAATTTTGTAATAGTTTTAGAAGGTTACAGACAGATTATGTTTGTCTTCTGAAGGGGCTTTAAAACAGAAAACGATTATATGTGCCATTGAAGGAAGCGTGGACAAACCTTGCATTCTACTTCCTACATTGGCTCTGAATGTTGCCATATGTATGTTGTCAAGAACATTATCATATGTAAGAAAAAGAACACTGGGCAAGGTGTTTTACTGCACTGTGCAGGTGTTTGTAAACCAACCTCACTACCTTTTCAGTTGAACAGACAGAGAACAAAGCACCACTGTTGTTGAAACCATCTCATAGTCATTTGACAGGAAAACTGACACCCTTTCCTGAGCAAACTCTATAGCCATGCTTGACTTCTGAGCAAAATACCCATATAAACTTCACCCGGCTGTCAATACATGGCTGTTTTGTTGCCGTACTGAAGGGGAAAATAAAGACAAGCTTGTGAAAAGCCGGTGTTAAGAGAGGTAAGGGAGGCTGGGTAAGATAGATGTGAACAGCCAGAGTGAAATAAAGAGACAGAGGAAGGAAATAAAGCAAAAGGATGCTGGAAATGCAAGAAAGACGTGATGGCGGGATTGAGACTTGTGTAATAGCGATGAAGGGTATAGTTACCGTAGGTGAAGGCATTTATATGTTAAGGTCTGTAGTATTGTGGAAGGGTTTAATCAAGTCCTATACCAGACGGACAGCTCAGCACTTGTTTACAGAGGACTTTAGTTTACCTGACAGTGCTTTCCTGCTACCCATCACACCATTCCCCTATCCTCGCCCTCTGCCTCACTTTCTTTGTCACCTCTGTGTTGCCTCGCTCTGTCTCTCTGCCTCACGCCTGTCACTCAGAGTCTTAACTTAGTACCTACCAGCAACTACAAGTTATCAGGAGGGGCCGCTCAGCTGCAAAAGCTCTCCTATTTTCTTCTGCACAAATCCATTTGTTTTATCATCATTCATTTATGTCTATTTACATAGGCCTGAGGGAGAGGAATAGCTGGAGCATTTGGGCAATGTTGCGTGTGATTTCCTGAACTTAGCCCGGGGATAGAATCTCTGCAGAGCCAATTTTCAGTCTGAACTTGTTGCTGCTCTTACCACACCAAAGTGGATGGTAATTTATGTATGTCTGCATTTCATCTCTACTGCAGTCATACCGAACACCCACTCTATAAAAAAGTGTCAAATTGCCACCATCCAATTTTTAAAGAACATGGAACAAAGTGTGATTTAACTTTTCACCTACAAATAGGCTATGTGGGGTAAACAGTGGTGTGTTAAAGGGGAAATCCTCACTTAAGGATCTTATTCAAGATCTTTCGTAAAAATGTTAAATGTACTTTTTAACTAAGTCTATACTTCCTGAGAACATTTTAAAAGGTGAAGGTATGAGAATAGAGGAAGCACATGGAATGTTAAAGAGAAGGCACGGGGGCAGCTGTCAATCACAATAGAAACAATTACACAGTTATAGCGGGGCATTTGCAATTAAAGCACCCCATTTGGCACATGTTGGTTTATATGTGGTGAAAGTATATAGATATTAGGACCTGCTTAATGTGGCCCCTTGGTCCCATGGTAGCCCTTATCAGCATTAACATCTCCATTCTCATTCCCGCCTACAAACCTCTGACTAGTGGTTTGTCTGACTGACTGGATGCAGACATAGACCGATCGAGATATGCATTAGCCAAGCCAACGTAAACCAAGTGTGGGAGATCATTTAAAAGAAATGCAGCAAATGTAGAGATACTCCTACACCTGCACGAGTCACACAAATAACAAGCTCTGTTTTGTTTGTCCTTGCTCTTATTTGTCTTCTCTACTACCAAAATTATCCCAACCCCATAGAACTCTGCAACAAACTAAATTAAATTACATTTGTAGTCAAACAAATACAGATAATGAGTACAAGGTAATCCTAAACTTCACACTTCTTTTATTCAACCTAAACAGATTATGACGACCTCATCAGAATCAGAATACCTTTATTCGTCCCACAGAGGGGACATTTACATTTGTTACAGCAGAAAAGAGCCAAAGACAGTTTAATGTTAACTAAGAAGCATACATAATAAAAAACATTAAAAGGTAAAAAAAATCAAAAATTATATAATTTACAAAATACAGATCCTGTAACAGTTCTCAAGATGTAGCAGCTAGGTATATATTGCACAGTTATTAACGGCATATATTTCTATATATATTTCACATATTGCACATAATGCACAACACCACACAGAGACTGGCTGTCGTCAGAGTGAAACAAACAGTTAGCCACTTATTGTTGGATTGTGCTTTTTCTCTCCCTCTGCAGGCCTGTTGGGTTTTGGTGGAACCGGGCTCAGTCCCTGCTCTACTGCAATGAGCACGGCATTCTGGGCTCGTTCTTTGAGGAAGTGAAGAGCTGCATCTGCCCTGGGGAGCAGCCCACCTGCCAGGGAGTCGTCCCCTGCGTTGTGGGCACCTCCTCCACCTCCTGCTCCTCCTGTGCCACTGACAACACAACCCGTTGCGGATCCTGTCACCACGGCAACCTCCTCCATCTTGGTTCTTGCCGGCCGAGCATCTCAGCATCCCTGGACCACTATCTGAACTTTGACCTGGACATGCCTGATGCTGAGGTTCTCAAAGCTTCTCATTTTTATATTCCATTGATTCTTAAAGTCATATTGTACCTCTCATTACACTTAAAAGCACAACATAAATGGTAAAGACACATTGTTACTGGGTTTTTTTCTGAAGACTCATACCTACAATGATAATAATTATGACAGCACATGAGGATATAGCAGAAAATGGAAATTAAATGTTGGTATAATTTCAAATGGATGCTTCAGTCCTGAAAAATCCAACACTCTCTGACAGAATCTAAATTGAAATATGGCAGCATCATTTGCACTGTAGCTTGTCCATATAATTATCTCTCTCATTAGTTCTGCCTGTCTTAAACTGTCTTTGGGAAAATGTGTTGAGCAGTTTCAAATACAAATCTGACTCAGAATCTATTTCACTGTGTCTTGGATTTAGAAAATAGGAATCTTTGACCTTTGCTTATTTTATAATAACATACAACTATAATCTAATATCTGGTATTGATCGAAATCCTATAGTTTTGTGTAATCAACTCTGTAATAAGGCGATGGGCAGAACATCAGAGACATTGGGGTATTATTATCTGTCACCTTGTAGAAGTGATTTTGTTCTCACAGTGTGTTATTCTCTCTCAGGCGAAGCACCTCCTTCAGCGACTGGACAGCAAAATTGAAGTCCATGCCATTTACATCAGCAACGACGTTCGTCTGGGAAGTTGGTTCAATCCTGCCTGGAGGAAGAGAATGTTGCTGACACTAAAGAGTAACAAAAATAAGTCAAATCTTATACACATGCTGATGGGCATTTCATTCCAGATATGTTTGACTAAGAATTCAACACTGGAGCCCGTGCCTGCAATTTATGTCAATCCTTATGGGGGAAGTCACTCAGAGAGCTGGTTCATGCCAGTCAACCAGCCTGACTTCCCTGACTGGGAGAGAACTCGATTGGATGCCGTCGCCACGGCACAGTGTTACAACTGGACGCTGTCTCTTGGCAACAAATGGAAATCCTTCTTTGAAACAGTGCACATCTACCTGCGAAGCCGCATACTCACAGATGATCCAACAGTGAATGAAACTCTCTTCTATGAGCCGTTGGACCTGGATGACCAGACGTCCAACATGGGGTATATGAAGATCAACACGCTGAAAGTGTTTGGATACAGCATGCACTTTGACCCTGAAGGCATCAAGGATCTGATTCTCCAGCTGGACTACCCCTACACGCAGGGTACGCAAGACGCTGCCTTTCAGATGTTGTTGGAGATGAGAAACCGGATTAACCGGCTTTCTCCACCAGCACCGCAGCCACTGGACCTGTTTTCTTGTCTGTTGCGCCATCGGCTGAAGCTGTCAGTTGGCGAGGTGGCTCGCATCACGGACTCTCTGCAGATGTTCAACTCCAAGCTCCCCAATGCTTCACCTGAACCTGAACTGGCCCAACTCTGCAGCTAGCTAGCTTAGCACACATCAGGTTCAGGAGTGATGCTACCCATACCAAGTGGAGTTGCTGCTTGACTGAGCAAGGGTGGTCCTTCTAAATTAGCCTCTTGGACCCCAATCCTCTGGATTAACAGTACATCCAACTGCAAAAGCCGACTGCTGGGCTTTTCTTTGGTTTCTCTTGGCTGATGTTATGTTCCGTCATATTTGTTATCAGAATTGCCATCAGAGCACTTTGATGAACAGTAGTCATGTTGTGAGCTTTTGGAAAAACAGCTGATATCTGGACTCTCTTTTAGGAGCTCTGAAGTAGGAGCCTGGAGGCTTACCTTTGTTATTACTGCCATGCTTTTGGCTAACTGTACAACTGGATGAAGTAAAGAGACTGTCTTACACCGACAGGTTGTTTGATTCGGAACCTCAGAGAGCCGATGTCATTAAGCATACCTAAGACATCTGCCTTGCAAAGATAAAGGCGGTTTTGATATGTAAAGAGGAACTCTTTGATGGTCTTCAAAAATGAGTAAATGGAAGAGGAGATATCCCCTTTTCTAACCCTATTTTATTTGGCTATAGAACAATCTTATGGGAAGGGAAAATGGGATAATATTATATATGTGGTAAATGAGTTGTTATGTTATGCTTAACAGTTTCAAATTTGATAATCCTGAACCCTGTTACTGTCTTTGACTATTTCTTTGTAATCCCTGCCTCCATTTTATCTGGCATTTGAAAACTTGTAAGTATACTTAACATCCGAGTGAGAAGCCTGTTAGTGATGTTCTGTCCTTGGTGGTGTGTCTATACCAAAAGAAGGTGAACACATTGGCAAACTGAATGGCAAATATCTTAAATGTTGAGTTCTTTTTTTTTTAGCTGAAATTCATGAAAAAGTCTTCTGATGTGCTAACAAAGAGCTCTGAGGATATATCGCTGTAAATAACGCTCCATCTAACCCAAGGTGTGGACAAGTGCACATTGCTTTTTAGATAACTGAGTGCAAAGACCAAAAAAATGTTTATAACAAAACAAACTCATGCCTTATATGGAGAGTCAATGTTAAGATAAGAAGCACATTTCGTTTTTGTGTTTGATTTCCCAGCGAAGGGTGTATTGCTTTTTATATTTCAATATTTCTACCAAGACAGAACAACAGACACATTCTCCAGAATAGGTGGTAATGTATCTTTTCCATGTAAATGCCAGTCACACTTTCTGCAGTTACTTGTTTTGATTTGGTGTTGTGAAGCTTTGAGTCACTATTCACAGTGCACACCGCTAATGTCATACTGTAATTGTTCTGCAAAATCCTTCTATCTCCAATTAGACAAACTCTCAGTAACTGATTGAACCTGGTGGATTTCATTATGGTTTTAAAAGGTTTTCAATGTTTTGGTTTAGTCTCAGGTCAATTAAGCATTTAATTTTAATTTTAATGTGGGTCCAATGTGAGCTGCCAGTTACCAAGGAGACTGGAGTTACAAGGTTTCTGCTCTTGAGAACTGAAAACTTACCAGGATGATACTTGATATGATTCTACATTTACTTCACTAACTTCTCACTGAAAGTCATTAAACCTTGTATGTCATTTTCAGCAGTTCTTCTGTGCTCAGCTTGCTTAAGTAAAAACAAAGTGGTTTATCTATTTGGCATCCTTTTTTTCATTATTTGCTCATAACATGTGTAGTATGAAAAAACATATTAATATGTTAAGAACAGGTTGTCTTCCAGTGTTTTGACAACTCATATTTCTTTAACCAATGTCCTCGCCATGTGAGAACACGTTCTAGACCCCGCGACAGATTTACTAAGAACATAGTGCTTTGCCAAGATGTGCAGGTTGAAGAAGAAGATGGTGTGGATACAACTCAATAGAATATTCATGGGAATGCAGACAAATCTAATGAAAGAAGTTTCTACCAGTGGAGTCTTCATAGTTAATTAAACATACAATATAAAATCAAGTGTATTGAGTACAAAAACAATGTCCCATTTGTTTGCTCTTAAAAATTAATCAGTTTGCATTGATATTAATGAATGCATGAGTTTGCTTTTAATGGCCTGTATTTTAATTAGCTTTTTTAAATTAGGCTAACTTATAGAGGACAGTGATGTTCTCTTTGCTGTATAAATGTAGTTTGTCTTTATATGTAGAAATACCTCATTTCAATATAATTAAACAATGGCAAATGTTATGAAAGAGATGTAACTTTGAGGCAAATCACATTTAAAACTGATTAGAAAAACAACACTGATTTAGTCTCTCATTTTACAGTTTAATTTACCTAGCTAAAATAAATGCAGTCGTTTCACAGGCTGTAGTTTGTGGTGTGTCGAATTGATTTACATCATATAGACTGAAGTTCAATAAACAACTTTCTTCAACAGTATCAACAAATACTGACCATAACAACCTTCATATTCAGGATGTGCACACAACATATTATGTTTGCTGTAACTAATAAACTGGCAACTGTGTATTCCTTGACTCTCACTATGAAAAACCAACTGAAATGTTTAGGGTTAGGTTTTTTTTTTTGTTGTGTGCCCAACTTGTCTCCCTGTCTACTCCTGTAGTCAGATGATTTAGTAAAATTACATCAGAAAAATGGGGACAGCAGCTGCAACAGCTGTTGTTGTATTATTATTTACATTAATAAGGTAATATGTGATAGTTATTTATTTCCAAAGAGGGCAAAGGGGCATTGGTTCAAGTGTTTTTAGCCTCCGTGCATACATCTCTATTCTCTGGAGAATTTTTGATGCACCTATCAATATTTGATAACGACCTACCGAGCCAATTATTTGTTAAAATGAGGGCTTAACACCTATAATATATGACCCTGATTGACTGATTACTTGTTCTTTGTGTAAAAACCATCCCATTTGTTACGCTCAGATTTTTAAGGCATAAATTCACAAGCAAAACTGACCTTCATACATCAAATACAAAACATAAAAAGCCCTCTGTTCACATACTTTTTTCCCTGAGATTGTTTGCACAATCCTCCATGAAATGCATTTATAACACGAATGGTGCATTTGCATGTGCTTGAAAATCTTACCTGTGTTTAGTGTGTCTGGGACAGAATGTGTCCCATCTGCAGCTAAGAAAAATGAAGTAAAGTCTTAGTAGAACTAGCAATAAAATGGATGCATAAACTTCCAATTACCTCCGGCCCCTCATAATAAGATGAATGTTCTCTAATATACGGAGTGCAGGGTTTTTTGTAAGATGAAAAGCCAATTTCCCGGGTTGTCAGGGAGAAAACAAGAACCAAACGCACACTGTCACATTACATCAGACTGCTGGTTTATCTGCTGGAGAAAGCAAGAGTGGGAATGGAGAGAGGGACAAGCAGAGTGACATAGACAGGAAGAGAGAGAGAGAGACGCATAACGATGGCCAACTTGAGCAGCCTGTATTTCTTTTTTTCCGACTCCATAATGAGGTGGTGAAGGAGTCACTCTGCATTGGGTTAATAAACAGTTATTCATCATCAGCTTGGCACCCAGGAAACAGGAGTGGGTTTGCCCTTGGTCTAATCTTCAGGCCTGTGGAAGACAGCTAATCCATCAGAGCACTATTTAGACTTCATACTACAAACTTTCTGGACCTCCCAAAGAAGTGGGGGAAGAGAGAGAAAATGAGAGAGTGATTGAAAAGGGAATATATGACATAGAGGGAGAGATGGAGCCAATATAAGGTTGAGAGAAAGTAGGAGGGAGAGAAAAGGTGAGAGGGGTCGGGCTGCTAGTCGTGCAGTGATTTATGATGTTTAGGAAGTCAGAGAGTGTGAATTAATGAGGTAGAATTGGGGAAATCGACTGGCACGTGCATGTTCGTGTACCTGTAAGTCATTTGACATAGTCATCAATAACGGACGAGATTTGAGGCTTTGAAATTACTTTCAAATAACATTATTACAAAAGAATCCATATAAATGATCCATCTTCGGAGACAGTTTGAGGGAGTAAAAATGAAAAGTTAGAGCTTGTTTGACCTCCTCCGAGTGAGGCAGAGGCAAACTGAGTTTTTCTATGTACGGTGGTCTATTATAACTATCATCAACAGCATCATGACTGGCAGACATGAAATGCAGGTCTCATACAGCTCGTCAGTTTCACTCAACAGTTCGCCAAAAAATATAAAAGTCAATTATTCCTCATATTGCTTTCCAAGACTCTCTTGGCAAACTCATTCATTACCTCTGACCAACAATAGACAAGGTCACATTACAATTCAACTATAGTGTTGTAAAAGATTTATTTCTCGGTCAGAATTTTTAGGACAAACTGCAGTGAAAAATTGCTTGGTATCGCTGAATATATTACATTTCCTTAGATCCTGTCTTCTATTTAATAAAACATGGTCCAATAAATCATATCAGTACTCATATAATGGTATATATTTATATTAAGCAATATGTTCACCCTTGTTGCATATAACCTACAAAGTGACACACGTTTCAACAGTTCCATTACTCATTTCAAAAACTATACTATAATGTAATAATACAAACAAAATAAAAAAAGTAAGCGGAGGGAGTTTTAATAATACAGCCGTATTAAAATAAGAGCATTAATAACTGTTTTAAGGTTTTGTTTGTCAGAAATGGCTTCTTTAGGAATAGAAAATGGGTTTTATTTGTATTTACTTCTTCTTGTCTCTCCTTCCGACTGCTATCTTAATATGAACCAAATAAAGTTAGTAAGTGCCATACTCAGCCCTTGCGGTCTTAACAATAATCCTTTTGTTTTTCTTACAACAACAGTGTTTACATGTTCGAGTTCTAGATGATGGTAGATTAAATTAGTTTATGTTATTCAGAAAGAACCGAGCTGGAAATTAGGATTTGTCATCTTCCTCTAAAGATGACGATGTGTTGGAATTTGAAAGAATACGTTTTCATTCAAACGATCTTAAGTGGCATTTTTCCTGCTGTTTTTTTTGTATGATATCACACACAAACTGAGTTCTAGGAACACATATGAACACAGATGCTTTCTTTAGCTCAAACTTCATGTAATATCTTGATGAAATTACAATTTATTGTGTATGCTACTGCAGGAAGGGTGAAACGTTCACACTCCGAGTAAGTGGGATGTAAACACTTTGCTTGCAAACGCAACAAACCAAAGGCCCATGGGGCTTCACACATTGACCCTTGTAACCTTTGAGCCTAAACAGTACATGTTGCATGTTCTGTGGTTTTAGAACATAATCTCTTCTGCTTATTAGATTGCTTCCTTTCTCTTCAAGCCTTACTCTAGAATATAAAACTTTCCTTACCAGAAGTACAACAATGGCTTTATGTTCAAATATGCTTTTTCTCAAGTGACTTCCTGTGTTCCTGCATACAGAAATCACTCCTCTGATTCAATAGCAAAAGTTAAAGAAAACCTCACATTCACTGAGCAAAACTGTGTTCAAAGATGTTATATTTACACCATCCTGTTTACGTGTTTATTTGCAGTTTTCATTAGCTAGACACCAGAGGCCTGTACTACGAAGCCGGATTTTCTCTTAGCGAGCTAACTTCAGGGAAAACTAGATAGGGCAAAGCTGGGTTGAGTTCACGAGTTGATAACCAGCGTTGTAGGACCGCTTAGCGAGAGCGCGTTTGTTTTGGGTTAGGTAAACCGGGTAACTCAAACATATCCAGGTTATGTTGAACCGGCTTCGTAGTACAGGCCTCTGCTGGGCTCAACGTTGTTTTTGTTTTCTTTGTTTGGGGAGGAAAACCTCTTCAATCACAGTGTTTGGTTGGGTGTTCCATATTTGAGAATATCGATGATGTCCGATTTCTAACAAAAAGTTAATGTAGCTTTCTTGTTTCTAGTTATGTAAATGTTAACATCAAGGTAACAATCTTTTCACAGGTTAATTAGGAAAAGCAGTAGGGAATTTTAATGATAACCACATATAAATAATAAAAAAAGTAAACTTATATTGTAATGTTTCTGTCGGCAATGACTCAAATATAATTGCTAATATTTCATTCAGTTGTATTGACCTTTAAGGGTAGATAATTTGTTAACAGCATATGTGCTAAATAGGCGTTGTGTATATTTCAAAGGAGAGATAAAGGGTTTGATGTTCTGTATGTTTTTGCTGTAGACTATTGAGTGCTCACAGGTCTTTAGGAGATTGAGAGAGCTTTTACTGCAAATCAAGCAAAATCAAAGTATTGCAGTAAGCGCCTGGATGTGTGCAAAAGATTCACCAACCTGTCTCTAAGGATTAAGTTTGATCAATTTGATGCATAGAGGGTTAAGAACTCAATGCAAACACAGGGCCGAGTTCGGATAACAAATAAGGGGATCAGTACAGGAAGGCGAGACAGGATCTATATCGGGGGGGGGTAATCATAAGAATCTATACTCCTCCCAGGAGGCTCCGCCCACTCCCAATTAAGACTATTGGGAGCAGGTGTGGGAGAGACACACACCTGGAGCTGATCTCCACAACAACGGAGAAAAAGGCTAACTGAACAGTTCAGTTTGGTGTGGCATAGGCTGAGATCACAAGGCTCCTAGTTTTGTAAGATTTTGACTGGTGCCCTGACAGTTTCTTGCATTACTGCAGTTCAAACCGGAGAGACGTGGTGTAAGAATTACATATTTATTGTTTACACGTCATAT